TAATATTTTCTAATGTTTTAAAAGAAGTCTCTTCTCAGCAAGGCTGCTTTTAATTTTACAGTAAAAATACATGCCTGATTCAAGAAGGGGGTCTGATCGCCAAAAAATATTATTTTACTAACTTATTAATTTTAAGTTAAATTGTGCTTTGTTGGTATAATGCCTGCTAGAATGTTAAAAAAAATTCAGTGTTAAGTAAATATTTTTAAATTGTTGATTTGTAATTGATTTTTTTTTTTTTTTACAGTGTACATTTTAATTTTTGGGTGAACTATCCCTTTAACAAATGCCTGGGTTTTCTGAAATAATGAAATGTAAATGTGACCCTTTGATATAAAGCAAAAATCTCTCTGTGGGGATGTAAAGTCTTGCTGATTGCAAAATAATTTGCTAAGTGCTCAGTTGTTGAATTTAAACCTGACCAAAACTAGGTCATGGGTTTATAGAGGATGGCCATCTAATTTTCACGATGTCCATCTCTGGCCGCTCCTCTTCACATCCATAATGGGTACAAATTCATTTAAACACATGATAACATACAATCTAAACAATTTAAGAGAAACTTAACATCAAAACGGAATATGAAGAGAGCTGGTACTACATCTTTCACAGATTGTTACTTTCTCATTATATGAACGGAAGAGGGAAATAAAACGGTAAGAAAATAATGCAGGGAAGATTTCATGCCAACTACAGTGCTTTTAGAAGAGGAAGAGGGTCAAAAAAAAAAAAAGCCTCTCACCCATCCAAAACTACAGATATCAGGTAACCTGTTAGTCTTCTTCTCATAATGACAGGCAATCAAACATGCAGCATTATTTTCCTTTGTGACACTGGTTACATCAAATAAAGAAAAAATCAATCGACTCTTTTAAAATTACGCATTATCGTTCTTAACTAAAGGCAAGGCACATAATATGTTTCATAAAATATCGTGCAAAATAGAAGAGGGATCGTTGGATAAAAGTCAAACCAATGTAGTACAAAGGTAAAATCCATCTGTGTCATTGGCTCTTTGCTCAAAGGGGGTTATATTAAGGAGGAGTTGGGGAGCATTTTGCTTCAGAGCTAATACTAAGATTATCTGCCATGCGCCCATGTCAGCGATACGGTGGTCATTTGAGCTCAATTCTCATGATTTTTTCTTTTGAAAGCACCATGCAGTTATATATAATTCATATATAGAGATTTCCATATAATTTTCATATCAGCACCATTAAAACAAGTCATGTCGTATGTATTCTGGGCCTTACTATGGTTAACGCAATAGAATGTCTATGCAAAGCCATTATAAAAGGTTAGCTAAAGCAACCAGAGTTTGTGGATATTATATAATATCGGTGTGTGTGTGTTTGTGAGGGTACCTAGTAAAGCTCTGATATGTGCTGATTTTGTCATGTTCTGGCAGATTATAAGGGTGCGTGTGTGTGTGTTTTCTTCTGCCGTCTGCGTTTCCTGTGGCTAAGCATTAGCCCATGCAGCTGATGAAGGGCTTGGGGGCTTGTTAGGCCTTTTAAAATATCTCTCTGGGCATAAAAACAACCCCTCGAACTCCTACAACAACAACAACCCACAGCAGATGAAGCAAAACGTCAAAAAGGTAAAAAAAAAAAAAAGAATTAAAATGAAAATCTCGCAATGTCTCAGGCACTTTTCATGGCTTTGTGATTTGGGTTCGGTAGCATTGTAGATTAAGCCCTGATGTTATTTCATTAGTACAAATCAACACATCTCAGAGTGCAGAATAACCCATTTCTGAGGCAACCAACCAGAGACATGCTGGTCGTAGGCGTCCACCTCCCAATGAACTCTGGGATGGGCAGCATAGCCACTCGCTTCCATTTGTATTTTCGTCGTAGGGCATTACAGCCCGTCTCACATCAGACATCCAAATCATTGACATTCCTACGGATTTAAGTGTATAATCTGCTTCAAAATAAAAACAGTCATAGTTTCTTGCATTAGAAATGTGGGAAAAAAAGAAAGCATGTTTTTTTTCTTCTTAAACTATGGGAGTTGTATAAAAGTAATCACATAAACATGGACACATTTACATAGAAAATGTTGGATTGTTCTGATCAGCTTCTTAGCTACTAGGAAACCAACCCTCATCTATCGCGAGATCAGAACATGACAAAAATAATCGACTCGCAGCATTCCATATGATTAGGCCGAACAGGAATTTGAAAAAGAGAAAAAATAAAAATTTTAAGTAGTGCAATGCCTGTAATTTCCAATGAATTTAAACAAATTACACATAGTGAACAAAAAATTCTATCCTCTACACCCAATACTGTCTAAGTAATGACAGAACTATATTTCAACTCCCTTTGTCACTATGTGGAAAAATCCACGTATCTACATGAATCAAAACCCCCTAATCTGTGAACTCACAGAGATGAATAAGGGACTACCAATGTTTATGACACGCACAAACACACGGATGCACACGCACACACACTTACAGCAGGGTCCAGGGAATGAGGGGCTTTCATATTGCGAAGAGAGAAAGGTGCTAATTCCCCCCTGCTATTCCATGGCTCATCCTATGAAGGCTACTTCACAGCTCACACACACCTCATGTAGCCTTTAACAGTACATGCCATTGCCTCAAGATAGGCGTGTTTACATGTAAGTGTGTGCGCATGTGTGTATAGACGCTGACTGTGATGTATAATGTCACTGAGATACCACTAATATTCCTCTGATGTACAAAAAACACGACAGGCTTCCACCAAAAAGTGGACTCCGTTAAAAACGGTGGAGAATGCAATTTAGAAAACATCACCCTCTGAATGAAACCAAGGACGCAGACACATGATTGTCAATAAAACTGGATGAAAAGTAGCCTTTTCGTTTCTTTTCTTTTTCCAAAATGTCATGTGAACGGAAGCATCGACCTTTTCCTTTCCTTTTCCATGTCGTGTTGCCTTGCGCACTTAAAAAAAGAATAAAAACAGACCGCGCTCACCTCCAAACCTGTGGCGAAATGCTAGCAGAAAAACTCTTTCATTGGGGTTTCTCTTCCCTGTTCGTTAAGAAAATAAAGGATACTTATTTTGCATATAGGAGGAAGCAGCACCTGTAGCAGAAGGAGGGGATTGAGGAGAGGCATTCCAGGAGGCAGAGTGGGCCTTTTCGACACGTCCGTCAATATACGTCATAGTTTGGGCTGCCCTCCCAGAAAAACAAAAACAAAAAAATCCTCCTCTTTTGTCTCCTTTTCTTCTGTTCCATCTATGGCCATTCTCTCACGCTCTTATCCGTTTCCATTGTCTTTTAAAAAAGAAGGAGGGGATTGAGGAGAGGCATTCCAGGAGGCAGAGTGGGCCTTTTCGACACGTCCGTCAATATACGTCATAGTTTGGGCTGCCCTCCCAGAAAAACAAAAACAAAAAAAATCCTCCTCTTTTGTCTCCTTTTCTTCTGTTCCATCTATGGCCATTCTCTCACGCTCTTATCCTTTTCCATTGTCTTTTAAAAAAAAAAATGTGTATTGAAGCATCTTATACTGTACGTTGTTATGCATATATAAATATGTGTGCACATATATCTATACACACATATTGTGTATATATATATGTGTGTGTGTGTATATATACAAATACTGCATATATATCTGATTTTCCCTCTTGCATCTCGTTCACAACTTTTTTTCTTGTAAATTCCACCAAAAATTGATTTTTCAAATCCATGTCTGTGCCTCCTCGGGTTCGTCTGCGTGTGTGTGATGATCAGTTCCCCAGATACCAGGACTGCAAGAGAGAGAAAGAGAGAGAATCAAAATCACCAAGACATCTGTACAAACACAAGTAACACAATAGGAGGAGTGCTATGGGATATCCAGCTAAATCAGATAAAAACTCATCGGAACCCGACTGCAGTCTAGTCGAGATGGGTCAGCTTCATCTAAATTGAATGCACAGGGCGATTTATATGGGTTTTCTTAAACAATGGGCACCTTTGGCTTTGTACAGTTTTAGAAAAATAAACTTTCTTAAAACACACTTTTCACACTAGCTTTTGTCTACTAACAATGTTCAACACAGGACAAACATACATTCATCGTTCTGTCATTTTGCCATTTTTCTCAGACCACATAAACATTTCCACCACAATGTCATTTCCATCACATCTCAAATTGTGTACTGTTATAGCATTTTGTGGTTGAAATTACATTTCTGAAATAAAAAGGCCAACTACTCTTGACTTGCTATGACTTATTTCATAGCCAACAGTCATTTCACTTTTCATGTATCCTAATGCATAATTTGACAACTTTATAATTTGATTAGAAATGATACACAATAAAAATATCCTGTTCACAAGTGATATTTACACAACCATCTACGTTTTTTTTTTAAAGAAATTAATACTTTTGCTCATCAAGGATGCATTAAATTGATCAAAATGACAGTAAAGGCTTTTACATCGTTAAACATTTTTCAAGAATTTCAAATAAATGCTATTCCTTTGAACTCAATGACGGTTTTGCACAAAAATGTAAAGAAGTGCAACTGTTTTCAACATTTATAATAAGGAATGTTTCTATCAAGGTATTAGAACGATTTCTGAAGGATCATGTGACACTGTAGACTGGCGTAATGGCTGCTGAAAATTCAGCTTTGCCATCACAAGAGGGAATGGCATTTTAAAATATATTAAAAATGAACAGTTTTTTCAAATTGTAATAATGTGTCACTAAATGACTGTTTTTACTGTATTTATGATCAAATAAATGCAGCCTTGGTGGATATTTTTGGTAAAAAAAAAAAAATTCACACCCTGGCCAATTTAAGTGTCAGTAGCTAAAGAAACATCCATATACCCTGCTAGTGTGTGAGTTGTGTGTGTGTTTAGGTTTTGAATGTGATGGTGACAGTAAGTGGTATGTGTCCTGTCCATGAGGATCTAAATAATGTAAAAACTCTCCAAAGCAGAATCTAATGAGCTGGACGTTACAACTACAATCAGTGGCTTTCTGATAATGGGAGGCAAACACTTAGTCGGGGGCCAGAATTGAGAAACCTATTAAAACTAATACAGAGTAAAATGCTATGAGTGCCAGACAGTGAGAGAGAGCTCAGCAGGTTCCCACCCAAACCTTTTAAAAGCATAACAGGATTTTGGCTTTCATTCACAGACCACTGAAGTCTTTTTTTAAATTTGACAAGGTTTAAAAACAGAAAAAAGGATTTCATGCCATAAGCCCCTGGCTCAATATTTTCCACTAAGGTTTTAAGTAATTTCACAGCAGTCCAACAGACGTCTTTAACTACCCCCAAATATATTGATTTAATAATGCTAAAAAAGGAAAATTTGTTCCCATTCCCTGCTGAAGAGTTTGTATACATCTGACTGATGGCTTGATTCTTGTACAACACCAAACCACAGACTAATGACTCCCCAAATCAGATATTAGCACACAGCCTTGAGAATCTATGTTAAAATTTGACACATTTAGGTATAAAAACAGTGCACACGGCAGCCGTGGCGCCAAAGAGTTTTGGCAGCTCTTGGTCACTGATCAGCAAAAAGTTGGGTTTGACAATCTATGGACCACATGCAGGACCAGGTATCTAAAATTACATGCCACAATACAAGCTATTAAGCTTACAGTATATAAACATCTTTACTTATTGAAATCAGTCTATTTTGACTTCGGTTTACTAGCTAGCTGAGAATGGTGTGATTCTGATATGGAAACTTGAGCTAAGGTTAACCTTACACAACACATGACACTTCAGCATACTTTAGAAACTACTGCCAGAAAGAGAAATATGTTTATAATGACAGCCGACACTGCTGGGAAATGCAAAAATGCTGCTTTCTGAATGATTACTACAGTGTATTGGGATGCAGTTTTCCCAAATCATATTTCGTGTTGATTACTGGATCAAATCCAAGCCCAAGAGAGTGAGTCTTGTGAATTTGACAGCACAATTATAGCCACTCCTTTGTCAAAATGCATTTCACCCGAAACCGAAAGGCTAAATGTTATCCTTGAATACTTGAGGAAAAACTGAATTTATACATATATTCTAGAGAAACACACGCACGCACGCACGCACGCACACACACACTCACAGACAAATCTATACTCCAGAGCTCTGGATATCATCTTGGCTTTGAGTTCAAGTGACAACACGCCATTTTACTATATTGAAAATGTCTCTTGATAAGTTAAATCCTCTTTCTCTAGAGAGTCAAGTTGAGATTTAATATATTTCCAGCGTAAGTTATGGAAACTCAATATTTTTTTGGTAGGAAAATGTGCTGCAACATATGCCTCTCTTCTTGGTTGTGATAGATATAATCTTTAATCTCACCTCAAACTGATGGCCTGATTAGAATTTACACTTAAATATGATCGTCGTCTCCTGTTGTTTCTTTGATTTATGTGAAGGCCAACAGAAACTGGCCAGAAAGTGGGGATGAATTATCATCAAATTCATCTATACAAATGTTGATACAACCAAACCAATGCAAAACCACTAGTGAAGCTGACTAAAGACATTAAATTAAGTAGATATTCAACATTACCCAACTGTGCCATGAAATGACATACTATTTGCTTTCTTTATGGAAGTTTTCAGTGGTCAGTTATCTTGGTGAGCTGAGTCAGATTAAGGCTGATTGGTGGAACAATAAACAAATGGGTTAAATGGATGAAAATTCACAAGCTAAGACGTAAAAGCTTGACTAGATAAACTATAAGCACACCATACTGCCACAACTTCTGTTATATTTATAAAAATGACAAATATTCTGTTTTTATTATTAAAAAGTCTATAAAAGATTTATATATATTTATACACTCTAAAAGCTGATATAGCCAAACTCCAGATGTGAAAATGATACATTGTGAACATTTGTGAAAAATGTAATATTTAATTAACACATTTATAATTTATTTGATATTCATAATGGCAAACAAATGTAATTTTTAATCAAGGATAAAATCTGGAGAGTAACCATTCCATCTTTGTCTCATCACACGGGTTTCAGTCCACCATTCCAGACTGTTCTCTTTTTACCAGACTGTACTCTTTTGCCTGATATTTTCATTTTTATTTCATCCAAAGCTCAAACTTTCTCTCTCACTCATTCTGTTCTAAGGACACAGCGACCAGTAGAGCCCAGGCTAACAGTGGTTAGGCGTTCACTCACTCCAAACAAAATATTTAGTTCCCTATAAAAGCTGCAGGCTTTGTCTTGGTGACAGGTGGTTTATGTTATGAAAATATAAAGCTGAGACGAGGGCGGGTTCACAGTCCAAGAAGGGGGACATATTAGACCACAAGAGCCTAACAAATGACAGTCTCTCCCTTTAATTACAATGCTTCAGGAGAGCTTGGAGGTGAGGCTGAAATACAAGCTCCTCTAAAAACAAAGATCGTTAGCAACGTACCCTTTTCATCAGAGAAAAGAAAACAGAAGTCCATTAAACTGAGTTTAATACAAAGACATGGAATGAGAGTGAAAAAGAAAGGAAAGGAAAAAAAACAGGTATGTTAAAAATAAATTCAGCAATACTGTTTAATAATAATAATTATAATAATTATTTACTTTATTTTTAAGGGTAAAATCAGGTATGACAGGACTTTCACCGGTGTTATTTTAGAATTATTTAGATATTATTATATTTGTTAATAATATTTTCAGTTACTTTACGTTTAATTATGTTTAATTTATTTTTAAAACTTTAAAAAGTTTAGTTTTAGTGTTTATTCATTTAATTTTAGTGCTTCAACTTAAACTTCTTTCATTTAGTTGCCAAGGCAACATTTAAAATTTTTGATTAGTTTAAGTTTTTCATCTTTTATTTATATTTGATTTCAGATTAAAATGATTTTTTCAGATTATGTTTAGTTTATTTTTATTTGTAATTTTTCATTAAAAATTTAATTTTTCAGATTATTTTTAGAAATAAAACTAATAATTTTTAATTAAGTTGTATTCAAGTAAAAAATATTGTTTAATAATAATCACGTTTTTTTTTAATAGTCAGGTAAAAATAGCAAGAACAGTAAGTGTGTTTTGTCAAACTAGGTCTGGACAGTCAATGATTCCCAGGCCAGTCCAGTGTTAGTCTCTGTCGTACAAGACCGATTGGTCAGTTTGATTGGTCACAGTGGTCTCTTCCTTTTCCACTCCCTCAAGCACAGGTTCATCCGACAATTACATCATGTCTGGTTTCCCCTAGCAACCAGACAGCCCTGGACGTGACCATCACGGAGCAAATGAACGGAACCTCCTCTCCCCTCCTTCGTTCATTTGACTACTTCTTTCCCCCTCCCTCTCAGCTCATGATACTCTCAAAGGGACACAGACACACATTTACATGAGAGCCAGAAAAGTTTGGACTTTTCCCTGGTGCACAACTCACATGCAAAACAACAGTAACAGAAGAACCTTAACTGCTGTGTTCCTGCTATGTCTGTTTGTCGTTTGCTGAGCTGAAGGTTTTCAAGAAATGATCTCTAATACATAATAACACACACTAGTCCTCAAGTACTCGTTGATCACTCTTCTGTCTCTCTCTCTCATCACACAGCTCAGTCAAGTGCATTTACACTTTTTTATGGCGCTGAAAGCACTGCAATTCAGCAGTGCACTCGGACTCCCGAGCCATGCAGTTCAATCACCTCCACAGTTCAGATTTTACCTGAGCACTGCCGCATTCCTCAGCCAAATCTCACGTAACCGCAGCTATTACTTAAGGAAGACCTTTCAAGTGTTTATTTCTGGGCCTATAGGATTCATGAAGCATCACAAAAAATGTCAGATGCTATTTTGTGCCTTTTAATCAGGTCAGGATTTTGCTGAGCATGCAAAAGTTTCTCATGTGATTCATAAATATGAAGGCTGAAGAATACACAGGATTATATGGTGGACTGCAAAAAAAGCCTTAGTTTAATAATATTTTTTGTCTTGTTTTCCAATAAAAATAATCAAATAACGATATAATATATATCATATAATAATGAATGATAATAAAAATAATCAAGTAAATAATCATTTACATAAGAATTACAATTGTGTAAGGCTTGTTTTCAGAGAATATATTTTGTTTTAAGCACAAACTCCAGATTTTATTTTAAAACAACCTGAAATAAAATAAAAAATATTTTATATAAATACAAATATTCTCTGAAAACAAGTCTTAATATTACATTATTTTATTTTATCTTAAAAAAAGAGAAACTAAAAAAAAAAAAAAAATGTTATATAATTCCTCAGACATTCTATGAATCACCCATATATTAGTTAAAGTGTTGTATCTACATTGGCTCTATATTTAATGTGAAAGACTACATTTCTTTTGGCAGCTGAGCGTCCAGCGGTAGATCCTGTATCTGCTCATTTCTGATCTATAATTGAACACAGAAGGCTTGGGCCTCTCAGAGGGTCCAGACTAGCGCTGCTGTAGTGTTTCCTCAGGGCACTGGGGTTCAAGGGAAATTTTCAAGTACTGCTTGAAATTAAGATCGAATTTTTAACATTTTCATGGTGGTTAGGTTTCTGAAAGTTATCAAGAAAAGTCAAAGTTTTAAGTAGTTAAAATGCAGTTATTCAGTTTAGTCTATAATAAGCATTACAATTTCATTTGAGGTGTGTGTATGTGTGTGTGTGTGTGTGTGTGTGTCTGTGTTTTTGAGAGTGGACAATCCGAGTTTGTGTGTATATAAAATGTATATGGAGGTTTGTGTTATGATACCTGTGCCTGATACAGACTGCTAGCGTCTCGAGAACCAATTCCTACGAAGGAGCGGTTGGCAGGTGGCGTCCCGGGAGCAGAGTATGCTGAAAGAAAGAGAGAAATTGGAATGAAATGGGACCATAAAGTTGTGAGAGCATCCAAAAGATGAGAAATTCTCAACATTATGCAAATCTCTGTAATGTCAGTTTCAAAATCTGGTTCCTGGTAGATTTAGTGATTAAAACACACAGTTTAATATTACTATATTCTGTAAAGATCTAAAATGCAGTTTGAGCGTGTATGGCACGCATCTGTTTCACACAGACATTGAACTGATGCTGAAACTGGGTCACAGTTTCTGTGTTTGTAACCGTCAGACTGTGTAAATAAATATTCTGTGTGGCGGAGGCTCATTCTGTTGTCTGCTTATGTAAATTCAGTCTGTTGTTAGTGAATGTGCGCCTTCATCTCTTAAAAACTGTATTATCAGCAATTACAGAAGCTGATGTGCTTTCTTATGTTTCTTTGGAAATGCTCCTCGTCTTGTTGGTAAATAAGGAACACACAACATAATCTATGCATCCATCTTTATCAAACGGGCCTTTGGATAAGCTGACGTGATTCTAGCTGAATAATCATGCTGAGCATTGAGTCCGACTGTGTGAGATGGTGTATTGAGGCGATTGATCATCAGGGATTCTGCAGCACAGCGGATGGTGAACATATTGAGCTGTTCTCTGCATTAATAATTAAATTAGCATGATTAATGGACAGGGCAGCAAGCACTGGCCCATTAAAGCTGATCGAATTGTCATCCAAATGTATCTGTGTTTATACGGTTTACTGATAGAAAGACACTTGCTTTGTTTCTCTCACATTGAAATCAGCATTTTTTTATAACAGACAGTTCACTTTGAAGCTGTTTTAAAATATATATGAATGTGCTGAGTTGCAATGCTGCATGGCAACTGTAAAAAGCCAATAGTTACAGTATGCTAATTAACTTAAAAAACATATGAAACATTGTTTATTCTGATTATTAATGTAAATAAATAATTAAATGAATTGCTTACCAAAGCTGCATTTACTTAAAAAAATAATAATAAAATAATTGTATAAAGTAAAAACATTTAAAACAACTGTCTTCTAATTTAATATACTTTAAAATGTCATTTATTCCTGTGATGGCAAAGCTGACTTTTCAGTTGAAATGAAAGAAAACGCTAAAAATGCTCAAGAAAAAAAGTATTTTTAGTTCATACATTTCATATATATGTATATATATTTCATATATATATATATACAGAGGCGGACAGTAGTGAAGTATTTTTACTCTGCTGTAAAAGTACTTTTCAGGTGTCTGTACTTTATCAGAGTGTTTTTCTTTAGAAAACTTTACTTCACAACATTCCAAAGCATAATATTGTACTTTTCACTGCACTACGTTTCATATTAAATATAATTTAATACTTAATTAGGCAGGCCGGGGGGTAGCGGAGGGGCCAGCATCTGAGAGGAGATGTAGTGACTGGATACCTTCACCTGACCACTGCCATTCAGCTGCAGAGGAAGAGAGGGCAATAGTCAGCCACTGTGGGGAGGGATATTTCACTGCCTCTACACAGCTAACATCATAATACATGCATCTACTGTCTCTGTGTTTGTCTTACTTTCACTTCATCTTTGTTTTTTTTCCTTCAATGCTAAAACTCTTTAAGATCTCTGCATATTTAGGACTACCAGCTAAATATCATGGTTGACATCATGGAAGATTTTAACAGTTCTTTAATATGTTAATCCTTTTTGGTGAACTAATGCAGTGTTCCATTCAGTTTAAAAAATTGGAATTTCCAACTTAATTGGAAAAGTGCGATAGAACGCCACAAAGATTTCAAACTCTTCAAAACTGACACTGATAAAAATGCATGACAGTGAGGGCACAGTTAATTGTTACATTTATGTTATTTATGGCAGATGCTCCTATCCTAAGCGACTTACATTGCATTCAACGTATACAAGGTATTCATCAGTTCATGCATTCGCATGGAATCAAACCTATGACCTTGGCATTGCCAGTGCCATACTCTATTGTTTGAAGGAATGATTTCAAAATTAGATTCTACATTACAGATAATAAAACCTGTGAAGTAAATATTTACAGAGACAGTTAAAAATAGTACATAACTATCTCTGTTGATATTTGCACACCTGCAAAACAAATGCTACTGCATCATTGCCATTTTGCGTAATTTTCCAAGCATAAGACAAAATCTAATTGGACAACTTGTACAAAATATAGTGGGAATATCTCGCATCTGACATTGAATGGAACACAGTATTAGGACATACATCTTATCTGTTAAAAAACCTCTACAGTGCATTAGCCTCTCTGCTGCCCCCACCTACTCTGGGTACAATAAAATGGAAAAAGTTCCCTGGAAAAGTTAAATTTCAAGACACGCCTGGTTCTGTGATCTCAATACAGAGATCATTTTACATCATCATATAACACTTACTTAAAGCTCAATTAAAGGGTGATTCACCACTGACAAGATGGGCTTTTAATAAAACGTGGTGAATTTAAGATAAAGTAAAAAAAAAAAAAGTTGCTAAATGACTAGAAAAAAACAGATAAAAGGGCTGTGGCATTCCCTTTGGCCAAAAAGGTAGGAAACTTCAACACCCATAATGCACTGGGCTCAATCCAACTGTCCATGAGCGGAGATGGGTGTGTGTAACATGGAGAAAGAATACACATTGTTCATTTACGCTACCGACATTGTAACAATACAAAGTTGATTGAAAACTGGCAAACGTATACTTTAATAACACTGTTAAATGTAGTCTCTAGCAAATCTCAAAATGAATATCCATTTTTCATACTAAAAATTATAATATTGTGATGTCTAAATTCGCCTGTAATATTTAAAAGCTGCTGTGGATTGTCGAAAGAGCAGATTTTTTCCAAACAAGCTGTATTTGTCTGAAGTACTTAATTTCTTTAGCTAATCAATTTTTTAAAGTGGCAAAAATCACTTGGTATCTGATGCAAATTTAAAGTCCAGTCACATATCTCCACCTCCCCCTGCCATCAGCAGTTATGTGGGAGAACCAGAGTAACGTTGTGCACACTGTTCTAGCGAACGGACCATTATGCATCATTCTATCGTTCTACCCTGGCTGCAAAATCCATAAAACCCTCCATCATGTTCTCTTTGTCTCTCAGAGGGTTTGGCTCTCGTTTGCATTCTCGCGGGGTAAAATTGCACACTCACTGCCCTGCACAACAATAGCTGGTGAGTGAGTCAGCGGCATTGTGGGCCGCTGCGGCTGTTCTTTGTGACTGCTTGGCTACGGTCAGACTGCAGTAGGGGGAATTTCAATGAGTATGCAGAATCGGCGGGGCACGGCTGCCACAGGGCAAGATTCATAAATGTGTGTGTCTCTCCCCCCATATTTGTGCCAACATCAGCAACACCCCTAGACACAGAGATCTCCTCCTTCTTGGCTGTATTTCCTGTTCTCTCACTCTCTCCCTGCCTGACGTGGAAATGGCACATGACTCTCCTACAGGCACCCCTGAGGATAAAGTGAGAAGCCATTCACACTTTGTGTAGTTCTGTAAGCCACTGCCAGAATGAAGCCATCCAGCCAGTGCTAATTCTTGGTCCACAGTCAAAACAAGCAGAATCATCCCAGAGCTGATCACCCTGTTGAGTCAGTGATGTTACTCAGATGACATCCCGGGTCATTATGGAACATTAAGTCATTATGAGAAGAAATAACACTCAAATAAAGTGTTTTAACTATTTTAAATATATGACACTACCGCTGTAATGCAAAATACACTGTAAAAATATTCCATGCACTTCAACTTCAAGTATAATCAAATTTGCTATACACGTTATTTCAACTTAAATTATATTAAACTGATTAAAAAAATTCTGAATCTTGGGTAACTTGTGTAAAAATTGAGAGAAATGGGTTCAATTATTTTTTTAATTAATTTTTTTATTTGAGTTTAAGTAATGGAAAAACATATGTTGTCATAACTTATTGATTGTATCATTTTTACAGTGTTTAGGGATGCTCTGATATATACATAAAAAATTCTATAAATTCTACCTGATAAGTCGATCTTTATTTTCATGTACCAATAACCAATAATTGACCAAAAACCAATAAATGGCCAATTCTATACTGTTTGTCTAAATAAATTAAAAATGAAACACTAAAAACTAAAATAAACCCTTTTAAATGCCACAAGAGAATTTAGACATATTTATATTTTTACATTTGGCAAGGTAAACATTTTATCAGTTCATTTTATGTAAACTGACACCATTTAAGGTAAATATTTTATCAGTTAATTTTATGCAGTGACATTGCATTCAAGGTACAAATTTTATCAGTTCATTAGTGTTTTTTTTTAAGATTAACTTTAAGTTGAAACAAGCATTCTCAGTTAAACATCACTAAAAATTCAAATGTTTAAGCAGTGCTTTTGAATGGGTGCAGCCCAAACGCCACCCACCTTGTAGCCACGCCCCTGATAAGTTAAAAGGTGTGTTCAACTTGAAGCAGCACTGTGCAGACCGATCGGTGTATGACATCAAAGTACCATTCAAGGTACAAATTTTATCAGTTCATTAGTGTTTTTTTTTAAGATTAACTTTAAGTTGAAACAAGCATTCTCAGTTAAACATCACTAAAAATTCAAATGTTTAAGCAGTGCTTTTGAATGGGTGCAGCCCAAACGCCGCCCACCTTGTAGCCACGCCCCTGATAAGTTAAAAGGTGTGTTCAACTTGAAGCAGCACTGCGCAGACCGATCGGTGTATGACATCAAAGTACCACGAGAGCAATTTGAAAGCATAAGGAGCGTCTGCTCTCTATAACGGTCACGGTAATTTGATGTCATACAACGATCGGTCTGCACAGCGCTGCTTCAAGCCGAATACACCTATATACTCATCTAAATAGGTTTTCATCTGTTGTCTGTGAGTAGTTGTGAAGGAAAAAGGGCTGATGGATGCTTGTGTTTAGACTGCAGGTTGCTTTAACAGAAAGGGTGAAATCTGACCGTGTCGAGGCTGCGTGCTTCTACAAGACAGCGGTCAGCTCTTTTTTGGCTCAGATTACATGGACTACGATCCATGTAGGGCACATGATGGCATGTTTATCTGTCTCTTTCTCTCTCTCACTTGCACACACACAAATACATAATGCAGATGCAGGAAGCAAGCAGTCAATCTCCTAATTCATCCCTTCTGGTATAATTTAAAGGGGTCATAACATGGATTTATTATTATTTAATTGTCTCCCAGAAGTCCACTAATGGGTTTTTTTCTGCCAAAAACATTCAAAAGTGTGCTGTTTTACATTTACTTGCTTTCTGGCATGAAGAATTAAAAGATCCTTTTTTTTTGCTCTGATTTTAAAGGAATAGTTCACTCAAAATGAAAATTCTGTCTGTATGACTTACTTTCTTCTGATTAACACAAAAGAAGATATTTAATGAAAAATGTTGGTAACCAGACAGCTTTGGTTACCATTGACTTCCACTCTGACAGAATTTTTATTTTTGGGTGAACTGTCCCTTTAATAAATACTCCTGTTGCATGTGAAATGAGCAGCAGCACTTTTCATCCACTAAATCAGGACATTCAGATTTTCTGTTTTATTCCACACAGTTTTTGACTGTCATGGAAAATATGACCCCTTTACGTACAAATTCAACTCCTTTTTAATTTGGCATACTAACAAATCCAGTGTTGTATATGAATAAACACGGCAGGCTCCGAGCTGTGCTTGGCTCATGTAAGGGACCATATGGGGTCCTACCAGAATTATGGCTGTTGATTGGTTGAGCTGAACAAGTGATGCTAATGATAGGGTAGTTTTGGATACGTTTTCACGTACCCTCATCTATGATTGTTAGAGCGTGAATGAAAGCTGAAGTCTATATAAGGTGTATCAGCATGCTTAATGGGATGATCTTACCGGGCTGGGCTGTTGATTGGATGGGTCACAGGCCAGAGAGACAAGATCCTTGAGCGGGTCTTGAGAGCTGAGGTGAGGGGGGTACCGGATGGCCGTGTGCGGGAAGTAGGTGGAGGCAGTCTGGGGGAGAATGGGAGCGCCAGGGAAGTGCAGAGACGAGGAGGGATGTGGACTCCGAGAGATACCTGAAAGACACAATGATATTATGCCTTATTTACTCGAAGCATTGGTGCTTTTACTTCTTTTTAGTACTTTTCAGTCCCTGATTATTGCATGAAAAAGAGCAGCATGAACATTTACTAACATATTTACTAACATTTACTAACATATTATGTTCGACAGAAGTAAGAAGTCATACAAGTTGAAATGACATTAGGCTGAGTAAACGATGACAGAATTGTAATTTTCCGGTGAATAATTCCTGTCAGCTTCAATACCTGTGGACTTCAGCTTTGAAACAAACAATATTTGGCTTTGTATTTGAAATAACCTCATCAAAGAACAGTACTGTTCAAAAGTTTGTGATCAGTGAGATTTTTTTTTTTTTTTAAAGTCATTAATACTTTTATTCAGCAAGGATGCATTAAATTATCAAAAGTGACAGTAAATACATTTATAGTGTTACAAAATATTTCTTTTTCAAATATATGCTGTTCTTTTGAGCTTCTATTTATTAAAGAATCCTGAAAAACTGAAATAATACTATTATTATTACATTAATATTTTCAACTTTGAACCAAATCAGCATATTAGAATGATTTCTGAAGAATCATGTGACACTAAAGCCTGGAGTAATGGCTGCTGAAAATTCAGCTTTGCCATTACAAAGATAAATTATATTTTATTGGTGAGCATACTTCTTCACAGACTTTCAAAAACATCCAAAAAATCTTACCAATCCCAAACATTTGAACATTAGTGTACCTGTATATAAACAAACACAATAACGCTCATCCCTTGCAATTTAGTGACACATCTGATAAAGCTGCAGTGTATAACCAACGTCATAATTAAAGAGATCTTTGTTGTGTTGTCACGTACCTGTCATATTTAACCATCATAACTTTCTACAGAACACTTGTATGCTGTAACACATTTGACAAAGCCCAGCAGAGCTAATATCAGCTTGATGTTACGGGGCAGGCAGCATATGGCTGACACGCTCCACCAATTCATCTGAACAGCCAGGCTAATTGTTAGAGCATAACTCAGCTAGATGTGAGGCTCTGGAGATAACAGATCACTGTACTACTATAAGAAATGACCTGACACTACTCTCATCTCAGCCCAATGAAATTGTGAACGATTTATCTGTGCATGTTTCATATGTTTCACCAGCCCCTTTCTTACAATTACCTGCATTCAGATCTGCCTCCAGCCAATCAACAACCAATGGATAGAACTAAGTCCCTGCCCTGCATTTTTTGTTTTTCAATAATCTGTTTCACACAAATGTACTTCACAATGCGGAAGAAAAATCTGTCGCTACTTACTTTAATGCACAATTCCGGTCTTAATATGAACAATTCATGTTTTTACCAAGGAAAAAATGGTTTGACTTTATAATCTTTCATCAAAATGTAATAACTTGCCCTGAAACAACTTTCTTTTTCTGCTGACATCACTTAAGATAGTGTTACCCAACAGCCAAATAACTATTTAGACAATTTATTTTTGCATGCAGAGTGGCTCCATTGGTATAATGTTATTCCCACTTTTCACCATCTAAACATTTCCTGATGTCTAAAATAAAGCCCCTACATTTTTTCTTGTTCATTTCATCCAAAAAACTTCACATTTAAGGTTTCAAAATATGTTGTGAATTGCAAATCATGTTGATTTTCAACAGGGCCTTATATAAGTAGGTTGTACATGATATGTTGATATTAGAAGAGACAGTTTGGATAACTGAACACAACAGTAGAAATTGTATATTTGTTCCTCCCAGCTAGCCATTTGCTGTGTTTGTGTGTGCAGGCCTGTGATGACAGAACAGACAGATATATGCATGTGTGTGTTGTCCCCTCACCGCTGTGCACTGCAATGACAGGTCTGTGGTGCTGTGTGAAGCCGAGACGTGGAGAGCTCTCCTGAGGAGATGGACTATCCATCTCTGTCTTCTTAACTGTAGGGGAGATTCCTGTGTGAAAAAGAGAGAAAAGTTGAGAGAGATGAAGGAGGGGGAGGAGAGCGCGTGCTTCGCTTATACAAAATATTGCAAATTCAGCTCCATTGTTCTATACAAGGACAAACTTTTCTGAGTCTAAAGTAAAGTTTAGTCAGCTAATTAATGAGCACTGCGTGGTCACTCTCGATGCTTCTGTCAGGTCACAGCAGATGCTTCTAGTTACCACAACTGGCCACAAGGTGGTGCAGTATGACGAGAGAACCGGAGTTTTGACAGTGCTGCAGTGCAATGCAGAAAGTGCACTCTCTCCTTGCAGCCAGGCCAATGGGATTATGGGAAAATATGTCTGTAGCTGATGATCTGCACTGGTTATTTAAGGTCAAAGCAAAGATACAGTCTCCATATGGATGTCAGAGTGATCTATTTAGAACCTTCCCGATATGGAAGCTTTTCCTAATAAGTGAATCATATATGTCTTAAGTTTCCAGAAACTGCTTTGTTTTCAAAGGAGGATATCTGGAGATCTTCTACATTCTTTCATATTGTTTGCGGTTTTAGGATGTAATTTAAAGGAATAGTTCACCCAAAAATGAAAATTCTGTCATCATTTACTCACCCTCGTGTCACTTCAAACCAGTTTGACTTACTTTCTTCTGTGGAGCACAGAAGCAGATTTGTATATTTCTTCCGAACATTAAAAGTCAATGGGTTCCCACGTTCTTCAAAGTTTCTTTTATGTTCCGCAGAAGAAAAAAGTCAAAAAGTTTTGAAATGACATGAAGGTGAGTAAATGATGACAGGATGTCCATTTTTGAGTGAAACATACCTTGAGGGACATGAATCATTAATGGAAACAGTTCCACATTTTAACCTTCAGATCTTAATCCACAGGTGCACGAGAACCGAGCAATCAGCTGGGGGATTGTTAAAGAGAAACTCATTAGGAAGCTAGGTGGGCAGGGTCGGTCCACCGCAGGGGGTTCAACAGTGCGTACAGTGATGGCATTTGCCCTAGAGGCCGATATGAGACCAGTGCTGATAACTTCACACAGTGATGGATTTCAGATTCCTGCTGGTTATGGATCAGTGGGGAGGAGTGAAGCAGGTCTCCTGAGATCTTAAGCAACAGTTTTGCCTGGAGGGTTCATGGATATTCGGAAGGGTGTGACAGAAGTCAGATGTTATATGCAAGGTCTGAACCGGCAACTCAGCACCTTTCTAATCTCACAATAAACTCTGAAGGTTTTAGGCTGATCTGGAGCTACAAACTTGAAATCTTTTTGCTCATGAATAAATATTAAACTGAATAAATATTAGACTTAATGCATGCAAATTAATTGTAAATTTATGTTTTTTTTTTCATTTAAGGCATTTTAGCTCTGTTTCAAAACAAGCTGCCTTGCCACCTACTTCCTACACAAAACCCTCATTTTCGTTACCACGTTGCTAAGCTAATGGCACAATACTCTTAATAAACAAAAAAGCAAAAATAACAGGTAAAATAATCAATGGGCAAAATAATTTCAATTACATTAAACTGTTTTAATATGTATCTTTCAACATTGAAAAAAATATTATATATTTTACATATACAATAACATTTGACTAAGACAGTAATGGCTGCTGAAAATTCAGCTTTACTTTCACAGGAATAAATTACATTTTAAAAGATTCTTAAATAGAAAACATTTTATCATAAAATTATTTTTTATGAAAAAAGTCATTTTAAATGGTAATAATATTTCACAGTATTTACTGTATTTTTGATCAAATAACTACAGCCTTAGAGAGCATAAGAGACATCTTTCAAAAACATTACAAAATCTTACTGACCTCAAATTTTTGAATGGTTATGCAATAATCATGCATTGCACATGATTATAATTGCACAACCGTTCAACATTTGGGGGTCGGTAAGATTTTGTAATGTCTTAAAAGAAGTCTCTTGGATTTATTTTTGCTCAGAGCTTGTCACAATGCATTATGGGATTACATTCTCCGGAAAGGATACAAGCCTTAGAATCCGGCCAAAAATAAGCTATCCTATGAGGTAAAATAATTAAGATAAACAGCCTTCTTATCGGCAGCCTACAGTATGTTACCTTAAAATGCTCTCTCCATAGGCAGCTCAACAGGTTTTAGACCAGAGCCTTCCATTGAACTCTAATTTTACATATTATTAAAAGCACACCACGCAAGATCACTCAACATCAAATACATTTCAGTACAAACAATGAATGAACTAACGTCTACACTGCATTTGCACCTACGAACCACACATATCCTTTTATGCTCCCACAAACTAAACTTTCCCTACATAGATTGCTCATTGAAACTTCCCCTTATACAAGAGAGGTGGATTACAGTATGGTTTCTATATCTACTGCTTGCCCTACTTAATCTGAAATTAGTAGAGCTGCTTCAGCATAAAAATAGCTGTCTAAAATATATTTTTAAGATTTAGAAGGCTCTTTACGGTGGATTAATGGCTGTCAAAACCCCTCAGCTATTCATAGCATTAAAGGCAGTGATTCTTCATACCTATTTTATTCATTAATTATGCTTTAGCAACAAAAGTGATTCTGATATGCACTGTCACAAATTAGTTCTTCCCAATGTATTTCTTCCATATCACTACATAAATCGAAAAGCCTCCAAAACAGAACCACAAATTTGCATTATGAGCACAGCAGTTAACCAGCCAACCCAGTTATTCTAGTTGTAATTCATTTACTTAGAAATGCTTCATGAAGATCTTTGAAAATTTGATTTGTAGAGGAGTAGACAACTGAAAGGTCAAAGGTCAAATGCTTAACTACAATCATGCAAATAGGTCTCTGTCAGTATGAAAATGCAGCAAATACTGCTCCAAGGTACAGAACAGTACAGTGCAGAGTGCAGTGCTGCTTTCTGCAGACTTTCACAAAAACGAGAGTTCATGAATTAATTAGGATTTGGCACTACGTTAAGGAAATTCAAATCCAAGTTCAGTCTAAGCTTGTGATTTTAGACTTCCTCTACTGCAGTTGAAAACCTGATATGTTTGTCATTCACTATCTGAATGTGCTTCAAAAATGAAGCCCGTGACTATGCTCATGGAGATGAAAATCTCCATGCACAATAGGCACCCACTAGTCGACAAATCGATTAGTTCTACCAATATTCACTACTTTGGATCTGTGTCGACTAGATCATGTCACTTCAGTTCCATCTGTACACATAGTGACAGCAGGAAGAAGATTCTTCTACAAATTATATGCATTTCTGTGTCATTATGTTTGTATGGTAATCTGTAAAGGCCAAATATTTAAGAATATTTTGGAATTGAAACGTACCACACAATGATCCAGTGTTGTTATTGTTAACAAAAACTAAAACTCTAAAACTAGTAAAACTACTGAAAATCTTTAATCTATTATCTTTAAAACTATTAAAAATCTTTAACAAAAAAAAACAGGTTTTATTAAATATTATATTAAAATTATATATATAAAAATATATAAAATTATCAATAAAAATAAAAGATTGTTAAATATTAATATTTCAGAACCAATCTTACTTTAAGTTACACAGACCAAAGTAATTTTAAGAGTTAGATCACTTAAAAATTACTCCACACTTTTTACAGTGCGACTACAGTAGTGTAAAAATGAGTAGCCCTTCAAGCCCTCATGCACAAGAAGAACGTTATTATGGGTGGTGAAGGATCAAGGGAACTGGAAGGTTGCTGGTACAATCAATATAAGGAACCATTGTATCTTAATCCAGGTTGCTCCAGAGGGATTGTCCCTGTAATAAATTCATGGCCCAGTTCTAAAGTTATTGCCCAATAAGTTTATCTTTGATAAAATCAAAGCAAATGGAACTTTTTATTTCCATTTGCAACTCTGTATTTCTGTGTTAAAATGTTGTATTGTAAGATCAAACACAAGGCTCACCTCCTTCCATCTCCTCTGGCCAGTTGCGTGAACTGCTGGCAGGGGAGTTGGGAGAGGTGTAGTACTCGCCCCCTGGGCTGGTGTCTATATCATCCTCCATGGATCCTGACTTGTGTCTCTTACTTCTGTGTGAGTAAAAAAAAAAAAGGAGAAAGAAGAAAAAAAAAAAAGAATAACAGAGCAAAGCATTGTTTAGTCAGACCTTATTTCTCACACAGACAAAAAAATGCTCTCCCAAACTGTCTGGATGTGCCTTATGGATGTTCCTTTGGACCTGCTTTCCCAGGCACTCAGCTACGATGAGCAGTTTGCCAACATTCACCTTTTGTTTTAGCTTTGCAGTGCGTTTAATGGAAAATAAGTGCATTAATCAGGACTGAGGCTCTGGCTAACCACAAAAGCAGATAAATCAAATAAACTGCCCTCAGCAGACCAGAGTGAGGGGCCGTGTTCTTTTACACTCACCTAACGCTCCCAGGTGCATGTAAGGATTTAGTTTTGTGATGTTTTTATTCAGCTTTGTGCATTGCCTGGGGTGGTTTTTGCCATGACGCACACATGACAAATGTTTCTGTCACCAAGGTATACTGGTGTCTTGAGTTCAAAATGCCTCGGGCTCCCTCTGTCTAATTCAGCCAATATAGAAATAGTTAACAGCCAACATTTATCATGGAGAGATGCTGACAGGTACATTTAAAACTCTCAAAGCCTTGTCTAACCGACCTGAAATCTCACATGCTCCACAGTTTCAGCCTGGTTCGGATAAATAGGCCAAACTAATTCTGGTTTGAACCAATAAGCAACTGCTGCAGGCTGTTGCATTCATGGCAACACAAAGGACCACCAAACTCAAAAACAACAGCTGGCGTACAAACCTCTACAGTGTAGCTGCTGTTGCTTCTGTTCTTGAGGTAACTGAGTTGGATGCCACTACAGCTTTTGTTGAAGCAAAAGTGAAAGTTCAATCAAAGTTAACCATTTGATACATGAATATGTATATACGTATATATATGTGTGTGTATGTATATATATATATATATATATATATATATATATATATATATATGTGTGTATATATAAATAAATGTATATATTAATAATTAACTTATATTATTAATAATTTAGTAATACATTTAAATATGTTTGTGAAAGTTGCCTTGTTTTTTTTTAAACAATCTTGAAGTTTAATGGAAATTCCCACTTAAATGATCAATAAGCAAATGGAGTTCATACACTGGACAAATATATTTTCAGTTAAGGAATGTAAACTACATTAAATACATATATAATACCTGAATAAAAGTATTCTATAGATCTTATAAATAAAAAACACAGTCCCTTTTGAAAAAGACGGTCATTTTAAAAACAAAAGGTCAAAAGTCATTATTTTTGGACATCATAGGACATCAGACACTGAAAAGAACAATTTGACAACAACTGTGGACAATATGGTAAAACTATCTGGTTTACTCCTTAATTAACATCAGACTGAACCACTGGACTGAATCAGAGGATGTTCATGACTTCATCAAAGCAGGACATGGATGGAATCCTTATTTTAATTTGAGATAATTTTGCATTGCGATAACCAGATGTGGCTTAATTTCCGTGCTTCTTTTTTAAACTACATACTGTACATACACGTGCACAAACACAGGTTAGATCTCATCACCAGTCAAAAGTAGCTCAAGGACACAGTGCCTTTGACAAGAGGAGGTGAGCCTGCTGCAGGCAGATGGTGGAGACGTGTGTACTTACCCACTAGAGGAGGTGCTGGGAAGGGTTCTCCTCATTCCCACCCCTGAAGGGTTCAGATCATAAGCAAGATGACCCTGCAGCTCTCCGAGAGAAAAGTTCGGCCCCGTAGCCGTCACCACCGGTGCTGCACACACACACAGGTTATGATAAGCACCCGATAAGCATATAACAGTTAACAAAAAAATATATAAACTTAAAAAAAAAAATATTTGCTGTAGAACTATTTTATATGTATATTTATTTATATAAATATATATATATATATTATGTATCAGTCAAAAAACAAAGAAACGTGCACTAGCATTCAAAAGTTTGGAGTCGATAATATTTTTTTTATATTTTTAAAAAAGTGTCTTATGCTTACCAAGGATGCACTTGTTTGATCAAAAACACAGTAAAAAAATATTGTGAAATATTATTAAAATTTAAAATAAATGTTTTCTATTTTAATATATTTTATTTATTATAATAAATCAGTTTATTCCTGCGATTTTCAGCATCATTCCTCCAGTCTTCAGTGTCACATGATCCTTCAGAAATCATTCTAATTTGCTGATTTGCTGCTCAAAAAACTTTTCTTATTACATTTTTACATTTTTCCTTTGATAAATAGAAAATTTAAAAGAAAAGCATTTATTTGAAAAAGAAATCTTTTGTAACATTAAAAATCTCTTTGTCGTCGCTTTTGATCAATTTAATGCATCTTTGCTAAATAAAAGTATACATTTCTTTAAAATAAAATCATCTTACTGACCCCAGACCTTTATATGGTAGTGTATCTATCTCAACAATGACTATAAAGTACTTTGGTATCACTATGTTTTTTTGGATATGGTATCACTATAATGCCATGTTTTTTGAACATGTATCATTGTAATACCATAATATTCTTTGAAATAGCCTGGGGTATCATGTAAATACTGTGATAAATGAAAATAGTAATCATTCAGTACCATGATATATATCAAAGTACCATGGTAGAGAACTAGCTTTTGATACCTTCACTGTACCAAGGCCATGACTCATTACTTCTTGTATGGGACAGTAAAAACTGTAGTGCACATCCTCATAAATCCCTTAGCACCTTCACATAGAGGAATATTTGGGGTTGAGCCGTGACTTAGTCTCTTTACTCACATGGTTAACAATGGTAATTGTTATCTAGTGTACAGTAAACTATCACAGAAAAGTGATTGTTATCTAGTGTACAGTAAACTAGAGTTTTGCAGCACGACTAGCATTATGTGGGTGTAATCTCACACATTCATGTTTAAGCCCACGTGAGGCTTATGAATCTGTGCCACTGCATGTCTGCTTTTACCTGAGCTGACCTCTTTCTTAATATCATTCCATTACTCTGTGTGTGTGTGTGTGTGTGTGTGTGTGTGTGTGTGTGTGTGTGTGTGTGTGTGTCTTTGTCTGTGTGTGTGTGTGTGTGTGTGTGTGTGTGTTTGTGTGTGTGTGTGTGTGTGTGTGTGTTCAACAGCACAGTAATTGCTCTGGCTTAATGGACAGGCTGTATTGTGTGTGTTCAGTTATGTCTGAATGTGTTGTATATAAATACAAAGTTGGGAGCAATGGGCTTGTTGTTCCAGCATGTACTGTCTTACTGTGACCTACAGTATGTGAACACTTATATCAAATACTGTGTAGGAGTAAAAAAACACCTGGTTTGAGCATGTTGGTTAATGCTGATAAAACTGCATAATGCACAATAAGATATTTAATTAATCTCAAGCTCTTAGCATCCATTCACGATCTATCAGTTTGTTTGTAACTTGTAAAGCACTGTGATTGCACACAGGTGTGAGGAGTGATACACAGCGGTCTCGCTTATTTGAATCACTTATAAGCCAACTGGGAAGAAGAAAAAATTTCAGCTAAACACAATCAATTATGTTGGACAGACTGGCGGGATTCCTTCCCTTCTAATGAGGAACTGTCAAACCTGACATAAAACGGCTGTGAAACTGACGCTTGCGTCTGCTACGTGGACTATGTGGGAGGTGGGAAGGGACAGATGAGATGTGAAGACAAGACAAAAAAGACAAGAAACTCGAAACAAAATGATTCACTAAAATGCATCAGACTCCCAGTGACACTTTTAAAGGGACAGTTCACACAAAAATTTAAATTCTGTCGTTGTTTACTCATCCTCCTGCCATTCTAAACCTGTATAACAGTAAATGATAACTTAACCCAGATTTCATTTCTGGGTGAACTATCTTTTTAAGTATGGTAGCGCTTTGCAAATCGCCTCACATGTGTTCCATCAAACGGTTTCGAATGGTTTAGAGTAACCAAATCGAGAACACCCCATTATTATCATAAGTCAGAATACTGTACGCTAAACGACATCGCTATTATCTACAGTAAAGTTACATTAATAAATTTAGCAGACAGATATTCACAATGATTTATAGCAGCCCTTCTCAAAGTCCGAACTGGATCAGAATTCGATCCGGACTCGCCTCCACTTCGTATTTCAAGTGCACTCGTATCAGACCTCCCTCCGTGGCACACACACACACACGCAGGCACACACACACACACACACACACACACACACACACACACAAATAAGGAAAAAAAAATATTTATTTTTATTTATTTATTTACATTTATTTGATGAAAAATACAGTAAAACCTGAACTGTAATATCGTCAAATATTTGTATTATTTAAAATAACTTTTAAACTTTATTTTAACTTTTAAACTTTATTTCACACTCATTTGTTTATTCCACAAAATATATACAATTGTTGTTAGAAATTTTTTTTTTGTGGCCGCAGTCAGTT